GAATCCCAGCACAGGAGATGGAGGTAAGCTCAAGGCCATCCTTGGCTACATTGAGGGTTTAAGGACAGCCTAGGCTACATGAGACCTGGTCTTAAAGGGGAAAAAAGAAAGATCAGCAAGGTGGCACATTGCTACTTTTACAAGGCACTTGACACCAAGCCTGATGACTTGAATTCCATTTCCCAGGACCTGCATACTGGAAAGAACTGACTCTCACAAGTTGTCCTCTGATCTCCACACATAAGCTATGGTACTCTTGTATGTCTGTGAACATTCAGACAAATAAATCAGACAGACAGACAGATAATATAAGTAAAGCAAGAACAGGAAGCCTGTACACATGAGCACTCTCTAGTCACCTTCACCCTACCCCACTCTTGGGCAGTCATCAGTTGGCTTCCTGTCTCTGGATTTACCTGTTGCGAGCATTTCACCTAAGTGGAAGCACACACTTTTGTACTGGCTTCTCTCGCTTAGCACGAAACATTGTCGCCTCTGCAGTACTTTGCTTTTATGGATGGGAGACATTCTGTTGTCTGGATGATCAATTTTGTTTCTCCCTTCATCTGTTGATGAACCTTGGGTTTGACACTTTTTGGCTACGTTGTGAATGTTGTTGCTGCTGTGGTGCGGAACAGGACACAAGTCCCTGTGTTCGGTGATGTAGTGCAGAGCTGAAGTCGACCCGCTGGGTTCCGTGGTAATTCCAGCTTTGACTTTTGCTGTTGATAATGTGGAATGTGGTTTTTTGTTTTGTTTTTGTTAGTTTGTTTTTGTTTTTCTGGTTGGTTGTAATTTTTTGTGTTTGTCTTTAAGACAAGATTAAGACTGAAGACATGTCTCAGTGGTTAAGAGCACTGGCTGCTTTTCTAGAGGACTTGGTTCAATTCCCAGCACCCAAAGGTGGCTTACACTGTTACACCAGCTCCAAAGGATCTAATGTCTATTTTGACCTCCAAAACCACCAGGCACACACATGGTGCACAAACATACATTCAGGAAAAATGCCTATATACATAAAATAAAATAAAAATTTAAAAGAAACAGTCTTACACTACAGCCTAGGCTAACATCAAAGTCATAGCAATCCTCCTGTTTCTGATTCCTGAATTCTGTGATTGCAGTTGTATACCACCAGACCCCACTCTATAGATTTTTGAAGCACAGTATTACTATATAGCCCAGGCTAGCCTCATACTTATCAATATCCTTGCCTCTACCTCCCAAGTGCTGAAAGTACAGGTGGCCACTAACACATCTGTAGTCTATGTTTGGTTTTCTGAGAAGCCTAATAACTGTTGCCACAGCAACTATAACATCCCCCATTCTCATCAATACTAGACAAGTGTTCTAACTACTCCCTTCCCCAGCAATATTTGTTATTTTAACACAGGTTGGGAGGACTCATATGTCAAGGCATGTATGTGAAGATCCAAAAACAACAGTGTAGAGTTACCTCTTTCCTTTCACCTTCACATGGATTCCAGGGATCAAACACAGGCTTGCAGAGTCTGTACCTTTCCCTACTGAACCATCTTGCCATATACATTTTTTAAATTGCTATTAATGTCACCATTGCCATCCCAGAGGATGTAAAATGTTCCCTTTGTATGTGTTGTTGGGGGGTGGGGTGTCTTTCTATGTAAGCCTTGGCTGTCATAGAACTCACTATGTAGTCCAGGCCAGGAGAGCCTCAAATTCATAGAGACCCCCTTCCTGTTCCCTCCCAAGGGCTGGGATTAAAAGTGTACACCACACCTGGCTTAAAATGTTCCTTTTTAAAGTTAGAAAATCTTCCAGTTGTTTAGAATTCTGCAGGCCAATACTGTACACATGGGACAGAATGCATTGTTGGGCCCTGTCTGGAATATGGACCCTGGTTTATTATTATCCCAGTTTTAAATAGACAGCCACTTAGCCTTGGGAACTGACTTGGCTGTTTGCCTTTTCTTCCCTTGGCAACTACTGACATCCCCATGACTTAAATAGCTCACTGCTTCCATCACCCCCAGCTCTATACCAGTAGGGACGTTGATGAGCTCCTGGCAGAAACCCACAAGGCTCAAGACCTCCTCAGGCAGGTGCAAGCCCTGTGCCATAGCGACCCATGTGAAGAGCTGTCCTACATGATCAAAGAAGTAGGTGGCATTCCATCATTGATTTCGGGGATTGCCTTTCTGTTGCTGACACACTAACCATATGAATTAATCTCTGAGGGCCTTAGTTTTTCACTTGAAAACTGTGCATAATAGGAGGCAGGTCAAGGGTCCCTCGGGGACTTGGGAGACTGGTCACTTAAGTTTCCAGAAGCCTTGTGATCTAAACCCATGGACAGATGACTTGTCATCTTGGGTCCCAGCCATGGGGAAAGGGTGGGCAAAGGGAAAAGGAGCAGGTTTCTGGAGACCTTTTCCTATCCCCTGAAAACTCAGAAAATCCTCAGTGATAAAAGTACGGATGATGGGAGGGGACAGCAGAATTGCCTTCAACGTACCTGCTGATGCTTTAAGAAGGGCCACACAGAGGGGCAGGTGAATGGGGAAGAATTTACCAACTCTAAAATGTGATTGTGTAACGGAAGTTTTTAAAATTGCATATAGATCTCGACAGAGATTGCCAAAGGGCCGTTCACCAGCCTCCTGCCTAAGCCTCCAAAGCATGAAGCACCTCTTACAATCAAGTTCCCAGACTTGGACAAGACTTCTGCAGAATGGCTAAAGATCAATGGTCTAAAAGGTATTACATCCCCAGAGAGGGCGGGACCCAGGTGGCTGACCAAGCCTGGAACCTTCGAGGCTTCCCAGGTAATGCCTCAAAGCTAACTTTATTTTCAGCCAAGAAGTTAAGCCTTTATCAGGTTCTGGCACCCAACGCCTTCAATCCTGTGGAAGAATTTGTGCCTATTCTCCAGAAAACAGTAGCAGCTACTATCCACGAGGTAATTCAATGCCAGCTTCTCTCCAGTCCGCTGCAGGTTGCTCCCTGTGCTGCTTCCTATCCTGTTATGTCAGACAAGGGAAGCCATGGGGCCTGGGTGGGATTCAGGCTTTCCATCCAGACTTTAAAATGCTTATAAACTTTTAGAGTAATGAGGCTGGAGATGCATCTCAGGATGGAGTATATTCAACATGCACCAGGCCCTGAGCTCAGTAACCAGCACCAAAGTATAAACAAACAAACCAAAAACATCTACCGTGACTGCTGGTTTTCAGAGATCTGAAAATGGGGGCTGGAAAGATAGCTCAGTCTATAGAATGTTTGCAAGCGCGAAAACCTAAGTTTGATCTTCAGCCCCATGTAAAAAATCCTAAACATGGTGGTACACAGATAATCCCAGGACAGGGAAGGTAAAGACAGGAGGCTTTCTGGGGCTCACTGGCAAACTGATCTGTCCTTGTTGGTGAGCTCCAGGAGGTGATTGGGGCTCCTGAGGACGGCACCAAAGGTTATCTTTGAAACCATGGTCATCTCTTCCATGAATGTTGTCCTCTACCCCACTCAGATATGACAGACTTGCCTTCCTGTTGCCCTTGCTTCATTGTACACACTTGTACAGTGGCTGCTAGAACACATTCCTGCAGATACAGCTCTACAAAGTACGAACCTTTAAAAGGCTCTCTTCTCTGACTCTCTGTCCTCAAGTCTAGTACAAGCAGTCAATGAATGTTCCCTGGATGGCTGAGCGATGGATAAATGAAAGGAAAGCTGGAAAGGAGGAAGAGAGCGATGCGTATTTGGATAGATGGAAGTTGGTGAAGACTCATAGAAAAGTAGACGGCTAGATGGGTAAACAGATACAAGGCTGAATGATTAGATGGATGGGTAGGTGGATAAATGGGTGGGTGAA